TGGAACTCACTCTGTAGACCAGGCTGCTCTCGAACTCAGAGATCTGCCAGCCCCTACTTCCCAAGTTCTGGGGTTAAAGGCATGAACCACCATTGCCAGGTTACCCATAGGGTTTTATGGGGTGAAAAAGAGGTAAATGGTGTTAAGTGGTTGGCATACTGTTTCAATAAGTGGTCCATATGCAAAAGAATGCAGCTGGACTCCTTCCTCATACCACAAACAAAACTTAAGTCAAAATGGATAAAAGGCCTAATATAAGAGCCAATGATCATAAAGCAGTTATGAGTTTGTACAAGGATAAATCTTGACCTTGGTTTGGGCAACAGTGCTGTTTTAGATAAGATACTTAAAGTACAAGCAATGAATGTATACAATGAGCCTGGGGTGATAGTACAATTTAATCCTGGCAGGATTAAATCCTCAGGAGCCAGAGGCAGATGGATCGCTACAAGACAATACAATAAACTTCATAAAAATTAAAAGCCTCTGTGTGTGGTCAAAAGGCACACGCAGAGAGAGAAGAAAGTGAAAACAACTCGCAGGACTTGTGTCTAGAATGTGGAAGAACTCTTCTACTTCAATAACAGAAGGCAATCAACTTTTAAAATAGTCAAAGACTCTGAAGAGACACATTTTCTGAGTGGATACACAAATGCCCATTAAACATTTGAAAAAGTGGCAGCACCATTCATTACATTACAGGAATGTAAGCCAAAACACAGTGAGGGGACTCCCTGGCCCCTGAAATTAGCTGTGGGGGAGAGACAGAACACGTGCTGATGAAGGTGTGGCAGACCTGAGCCCCCCCCCCCCACTGCTTGTAAGAATATCAACGGGAGGGGGCTGGAGAGATGGCTCAGCGGTTAGGAGCACTGACTGCTCTTCCAGAGGACCCGGGTTCAATTCCCAGCACCCACATGACAGCTCACAGCTGTCTGAGAGTCCAGTCCCAGGGGATCTAACACCTTCACATCAATGCACATAAAAGTTAAATAAATCATTAAAAAAATATATCAACGGGAAAACCACTTGGTAAACCAAAATGGCTATTCCCCAAAAATTACAAAATAAAAATAATATGACCTCATAATTCTACTCACAAAACTCATAAATCCATTTTAAAGTGCACAAATGTTCATAGAAGTTTTACTAATAATAGACAAAAGTATGGATATTATAGTGGTCAGTACGTGATGGATAAACACAGGGTAATAATCCATGTGATAGATCCTTATTCCACAATAGGAAGGGAACACTCATCCGTACAACATGGATGAACCCTGAAAACATAGTGAGAGAAAGAAGCCAGTAAGCAAATGTGGGGTGATTTTTCAGAGAAACACCTCTTGTAGCTTGCATTTTATAAACCAAACTTTGGCCCAGCCTGTGACCAAGTTAGCAATGTGCTTCGAGGTCACTTAGGACCATGCACTCATTTTGTTTGTGTGCTCAGCCTGATCAAAACCAACTGCCCTTTAAAAAAAAAAAAAAAAACTATGAAGTCAATCTTATCACAGTTCATACACCCAAGGTAATTAACTCTTGCAAGCTTTGCTGATAGCAGTTTTGATATGATACCATGTTCCCTCTCTTCACTTCACGGCCCCTGACTAAGAACAGTGTACGGGTGGGTAGGATGTAGTAACCAGACAGCAAAGAGTTGAAATCAACACCTCCTCCCCTTGAAAATGTTGAAAACGTGAGCGCGGGCTGAGAACGCCTGTGTGTGGGTTTGTGTGCTGCTCTGAGTCAAAGGGTCAGGAAAACCATTTCTTCCATTGTGAGACCCGTACCTAAGACGTCTACAGGTTCCCCAGTCATTGCCCATGCCACACTCACTGTTCAGCAGAGAGGATGGCCTCTTCTGAACTCTTCAGGACAAAGGCATCAGGCTCACTCTGGGGCAAAAGACACCAGGAGCTAGTTTCTGTGCTTTAGATGGCACTGCAGTAACAAAAGATCGCGTTTATGCCCATTTATGTGAATGCCCAAAGTAGGCAACTCCATGATCAGAGTGGCCCCGTGGCTGCCTGCTAGAGCTGGGATGGAGGGGGTGGTGATGTGTGACTAACGGGATAACTAAAATGTTAAATGGTGGTAGCGGCTGTTGCATAACTACTAAGAATTGCTAAATTGTAGACTCTTATTGTAAGGAAGATCATTGCTACCATGATAGATCCATTCTTGTTTTGGAGTTGTGTGTGTCCGTGGACGTGTATGTGCGTGTGTGTTTGTGGACGTGTGTGTATGCTGTAGTTAGGTACTTTTCCACTCTCTACCTTATTTTTTTAGACAGGGTCTCTCACTGAACCTGGAGCTCACTGATTCAGCTTCACTGACTAGCCCCAAAGCCCTAGAGAGCCGTCTGCCTCTCCCTCTGGGATTACAGATGTGCATGGAATTTTATATAACTGCTGGGGATTGAACTCCTCATGCTTGTGTAGCTAGCACTTCACCAAGTGAGCTAGTTCCCTAGCTCTCCAGCCCATAATGCCGTTTTTTAAAAGTGCTTGGCATAGTGACCACCACATTTCCCCAAACCATGAATAATTGCATAATGTAACAAGGGTCTATTCCTTTATTTCCCTAAATGTGTCCATGTCTAAATCAAAAAAGGAAGACACCAGAGTCCCAATTCATCTACAGATGATCTTATACCCAACACCAATTATTTCAGAATCCTTCACGTACAGCTAGCAGGCTGGATGTAGCCAAGGACAGCTAAGAATTTGACCGAACTGCAGTTTGGCAGTCACTAATATCCAGAGTTAATGGACACAGCTCTAGCTGTGTCCTCTGTAGATGACAATGTCCTATCTCAGTGTCAGGAGGTCAGACATGCCTGTAGGTGGAATACTTTCCTCTGGGTCCCCACTCACCTCCCCAGATTAAAAACAAACAAAAAACCTGTAACACTGCTTTGTCAGTGGTGGTATTGTTTTTATCCATAAAAAAGTCCCCAAACCAATTAATGCTTTCTAAGCACACACACGGGGAGGCTCAGGTCCCACTCCTCGGACCCCAGCCACACGTTTTGGCAGCGAAAAGGGAAATGGGGTGAAGGTCTCTAGAATAAAGATGTTATGTTTGCATACAGGAAGAAGGAGTTCAAAAGCTCCGAAGTGAAGCCAGGTATGGAGGCAGAGGCAGATGGAGCTCTGTGAGTTGGAGACCAACTCTATCTACATTCAGAGTTCCAGACAGGACCACATAAAGACATGCTGTCTCAAAAGAAAATAAAAAAAGCAGCAGTTAAGAGGGTCATGAAAGGAGGTTAAATACCTACCTCTGGATTTCTGAGGCTCTGGAGCCCTGTCCTAACAAGCTTCCAAGCTGCTCACCTACGGAGCTTCACTGATCCACTGTTCTTTCTGCCCTATTTCAAACTAGGTTAACAGTAGCTTTGGGGTGTTCTTTCTCACTGTACCACACCATGTCCTGAAAGATTCTGGAAACCCCGACTCGGTTATCATGCTTATGATCTCACTGTAGCTGGACCCGGTGATGCATGCCGACAGTGGAGCAGGCAGAACGTTGAGGCAAGAGGATTGCAAGTTCCTGACCAGTCTCTGTGACAGGGAGATCTTGTCTAAAACAAACAAACAAAAATGGAACTGGGGAGATGGATGACTCAGTTGTTAAAAGTATTGACCACACAAGCCTGAGGACCTAGCAAATTAATGAGTTCCAGGCTCAGTGAAAAACCTGCCTCAGAAAATAAGGCGAGGAGGAATAAACGCCCAGTGTCAACCTTTGGCCTCCGCACACATGTGCACACACACTAGTGCATCATGCACACACACACATACACCATGCACATTAGATAAAGAAAACCTCTCATAATGTGATAAACTGAGAAACGCCCCCAAAGATGACCATGCCCTAACCTCTGGGAGCTGTGAACGTCACTTTAGATGGCTACAAAGGGATTATGCCACATGTTTTAAATAATTGGAACTAGAAATGAGTCTCATATTTGGCTCAGTGCTCAAAGGCAATCAGAGAGCAGAGGAGACAGGACACAGGACAACAGAGACAGAGGTTGGAACAGTCACAAGGCAAGGAATGTCAGCACCCACTAGAAGCTGGAGGAGGTAAGGCAAGGGCTCTCCCTGACAGCCTAAAAAGGGAGCAAGACTCTGCTAAGCACCTCCATTCTGTCCCACACGCTGGCCCCGCACAGGGAGAGAGGAAGTTTCTGTGATTATAAGCCACTACACATACGATCATTTGTTAGCATATGATTCCCCTGCGGATAAATTCCTGCTGACTTCTCGGCGACCTTGACCTTCCAGTATGCTCCTCTTTCTCACGCAGTCTTGAGTCCCATACGAGTGGCTGCTGAACCCAGGGTTTCTCACTGTGTCTTTCTAGAAAACACCTGTCCTTGCTGTCTTTGTCTCTCCTCTTCCAGCAAGCTTCCTGACATCACCTTATTCTTACCTGCATTGTGACACTCGGCATGGTAATGCTCTACTGCTCACATGCCGTCTCCCCATTCAAGCTAGGGTCCTTTCAGGACCTCGGTTTTATCTGCATCCCCAGCACCGAGCACAGTGACGGACACACAGCAGATGTTGATCCCCAGCCTCTGCCAGGAGCTCCCAGATGACCTGCCACAGTTCTCCTCCCCACACGTTACGCAGCACTGATGCAAACCAGCCTCCAGGCTGAGAGTTGTGTTCTTTGCGGCTCTGTGCTGCCAGGTTGGACAGCCTGGAAGCTTAAGCTGAAGATTCTGCAGGTACCTGGTTAAATTCAACTCTCCCTTCAACAAGAGCTTAAATAAACACAGTCCTTACAGGATCTCTTAAGACTGCAGCACACATCTTTAATCCCAGCACTCAGGAGACAGGCAGGCAGATCTGAGGTCAAGGCCAGCCTGGTCTACAAGAGCTGGTTCCAGGACAGGCTCCAAAGCTACAAAGAAACCCTGTCTCAAAAAACATAAACATAAACAAAAACAAAAACAAAAAAAAAACAAAAAAAGGATTTTGTTTCTTTAGTTTCTTCTGGGATATCTTTTTCTTTTGTGAAACCTCCTCTTCTGGCTTTGGAACAAGTTGTCCCTTTTCAGTGAGGGTCATCCCAATGTGGCAGGGGGAGCTCATGTACAGGTTAATCTGGCCATGAGCTCTGTAAATTCGTCAGTGCACCTTAGGTGCTTTGTTACCTGGATGTGTTCAATGACTAGAGAATCTACATCTAAACCCTTCAGTTCAGCGTTACTCTCTGCGTTTTTAAGCATGTGCAGCAAAAATTCAGCACTCTTTTTTTGTCCACCGACCCTGTGTCCAGGTCCACTGTTTGGCCTAGGTGCATCTACCGACTCTACCATTGTACCATCGGAATGGGACACACTGCTCTACCACTGTACCGTGAGAATTGGCACCCATTGCCTCTTAAAAGTGACATCTTTCAGATATTTGGTGACTTTTCAGATATGCAGACCTTTGGCCTGGGCAGTTCCACGGGTGTTCTTAAAGTGAACCCAAAGGTTTGGTCCTCTTGATTTGCATGATTTTGTAGGGTTTTCTGGGTCAGGAGAGTTGCGAACCATCTTTACAGGTTCAGGCTGCTTACAGGAAGAGCTTGATAAGGAATCTAACATCCTAAGTAGCCACATCCATCCTGCCACTATCAATAAAATGTCAGCCTTCTGCGTGGTCCCAGGTCAAATCTGGAACCTGAGAAGCAAGAGGCTGAACTGTACTGTAGACTCCTTAGGATCGTGTCCCTCGTGGAGCCTGGTGTGGTCACCCACACTTCCTGTCTGTATCATGGGTATGTCTTTTCTTAATTCTGCTATGTGGAGTAAGTAGAAAGGGGCATTTGACTGAACCAATTAAGGCAGCGATTATTTTTAATTCTCTTTTGACAGACCCTGTCAAAGCATTGCCTTTAGTATCTTTCCATAAGTAGAAAAGTTGCCTCCAATTCCAGGGATGGGGTATGCACAATCAGCCACTATTAACTCCTGGTGGAAGGCACCAAGCCCAGAATAAAACTTGCAGATATTCACTGGCTGTTTCCCAAAGCCTTGGATTGGTCTTAGTGGTAGCAATCAGACAATTTTCCCAAAGTCCCTAAACAGAGAAGCATGGTCAGTTAGCTAGGAAAAGAAACTGAAGATAATCGTCACTGCTGGATATTCTCACTTTTAAATAAAAGGCAGCATTGCCTTTTGAAGGCCATGCTGAGGTCTTGTAAAGGGACAACTGTATAGACAGGGATAAAATAAGCCAAGTTCAGAAATGCACAGACCTGGGAAGTGTAAGAACAGACTCTTTCTATTAGCATCGCAAGGAAACTGCACTTCAGGGATTGTAACAAGCAAGGGCTCCAGTGTCCATCTCACCTTCCCCATCTATCCTTGTCTCCTCCTGCTCTGTGAGTGGACATTCCTGGAATGGGAACAGCTGTTCTCTTCCACCCATGTGCGAGCACGCATGCATGTGTTGTGTAGGTAGGTAATGACCTACCTACACACACACACAAAAAAAAAAGCAGAGCCCTCACTTTGGATTCTCACCCCAGCTATGGGATAGGAATGTAAACGGCCCGGCTTCCCCTCCTTTGGTGAAGCAACCTGAGTGTGGTCCAGCATCTCAGGAGACTCCTGGCAAGATTAAACCCCACCTGACCACAGCAGGGGTCTGTTCATTACACATTTGTTTCTTTCCCCCTTCTGCTCTCTGCCATCCTTCGCCTTTCAAATTACCAGCCTCTTCATGCTTTTGAGCCAGCTTTGGAGACCCGAGTCAAGAGTATTTTCTGACATGGGATTTGGTCTGGGACACTCAATGCACATGCCGTCCCCGCAGGGCCGTCACTGTTAACACTAGTCCAGCCTTAAAACTCACATGGACAGAAACAAAACCCCAATAGTTTTCCTTCAAGAAGGTATAAGAATAGGCTGATTTCCCATAAGTACCACCTGACCTACCAAGTTATATGGCAAACACAGCCTCATGCTTAACTTACGGGCACACCCATAGGAAAGATTAGCAATGCTTTCGGTGTTGAATCACTGACGGAAGCTACGTTAGGCGTGTTAGAAAAGAAATTAACCAGGGTCAAAGTGTCTTCTGGCCATGATGGGCTCACGAGCTCACTGCAGCTGTGGCTGCCAGCACACAATCAAGCCAGGCTACATTCCAGCACGCAGGTGGGAGACTCCTAAGCTCCCACCCCTCGTGGAGGAGCCCTTGACAGCCAATGGCTGCTAGGGGAGAGAGAGTCAGTTTAAAGGGTGTGGCCCTGGTAGGAAGCCCAATCACACTCCAATGGAGGCGCCCACACTGATGGGGATATAGGCAGCACTAACTGAACCAAGTGGGTTAAAAAAAAAAAAAGACATGAAATTATGGGTGAACCCACAAGGACATTAAGTGGGGAATGCATACGCTCAAAACATATTATATAGAAGTACGTCACTCTCAACCAGTAACAGATGGAAAAGATTCCGTAGAAAGAAACTGGCATATCTAGTTTCTAGAATAAGCATGATCAGGAACACGTTTGCTATTCATAATACATTTTACAACTATGAGACATGACTAACAGAAAGCTCCAACTTGCCTTGTTATAAAACGGTGATTGCAGTATGGGGACCTTGGGAGAGGGTTGAAGGGGAAGGGAGAGGCAGGAAAGGGAGCTGAGAAAAATGCGGAGATCAATAAAAATCAATAAAAAGAGTGATTGCGCCTTCTCAAATCACCAAAATGATTACTAGCTGTTCCCAAAGCATGGCTGCTCCCACAAACCCCAGCTAAGAGCCCGTTTTTGTTTTTGCAGTCCTAGGAACTGCACCTGTGCCCTGATGAATACTCACACTCAGCTACAGAGCAGCATCCCAGTTCTTGATGTCCTTCAGGATGGTCTCACCATGTAGCTCAAATTATCCTTGACGAACCCCGCATTCCACATTGGTCCATAAACTAACGATCCTCCTGTCTGTTAGAATTTTAGGCCACTTTTCAGCAAAGTAATGCTTAGAACCCTCAACTTTAAGGGATCCCCCAAACGCCTACTTCATTCAGAGAGCTGCACTCATACTTGTTACTCCTTTAGCAAGACTGGCTTTCTTGTTATCTAGTGACCACTAGGCTCACAGTGGGGACAGGAAAGTTTTCTGTTGACCTTGGCTAGCCTGTCTTTGGCAGACTTTGTATCTGGTTTTCTGGATGTGGCTTTCAACAGTCCCACCTCATTCTGCAATAATTAGGAAACTCTACCTTAAAGCAATGACCTCATGTGAGGAAGAATTCCAAGCCCCCTGCCCTCGTCCCCCAGAGCAGAAGTCCTCTAGTGCTACACTGATGGAGGAGGGTTATCTGTCTATTGTGTTATTTTCATTGGTCAATAAAGAGACTGCCTTGGCCCCTTTGATAGGACAGAAAATTAGGTAGGCGGAGTAAACAAAATAGAATGCTGGGAAGAGGGCAATGAGCCAGACGCCATGGAGCTAGCCACCAGGTCAGACATGATGAATCTTTCCCGGTAAGCCACACCTCGTGGTGTGATACAGATTAATAGAAATGGGTTAATATCAAGATATGAGAGTTAGTCAGTAACTAACTCTCTAGAGATAATGGGCCAGGCAGTATTTAAATGAATACAACTTATGTGTAATTATTTCTGGGGTTAAGCTAGCCATGCGGGAGCTGGGCAGGATGAAAAGCAGGCCTGCCCGCAGGTCCTCACTACACTACACTGCATCCCAGTCTGGCTCTTCTTCCTTCGGGAGGAATCATTCTTTGCTGGTCCTGAAAGGAATCTCCGCTCCTCTTCCTGGGTGGGGAGAGGGGAGTTTTGTCAGACACAGGAAGGGTGAAAAATGTGTGCAGCTTTCCCCCGTAGCACCCTACGGTATTTATAGTCTTCAAAAGGGGGACCTGGGGTGAGTCGGTAGGGCTTGGATCTGTCCCTAGTTACTTCCTGTGTGCCTGAACCCTCACCAGGATTTGCAGGTGCTCTGTCCTGCTCTTCCCAGGTATGATGGGCCTTTAGTTCTGAGAGGCACATCCTTAACTGAACCTTCCACACCTACCCCAAAGACACACTAGTCCACACACAGCCTTTAAGAATTTGTAAAATGACCTACACAGTGAACAACAGGCAACCAAGGAGTGCAGAAAGTGGGAAAAAATGGTCTCCAGGAAGAGCACAAAAACTGGCTATCCAACGCCAAATGAGCATGCACACATGCACGTACCAAGCACACATATGAAACAATTAATGAAAAAAAGGAGGCCACACTTTTGAAAAAAAAAAAAAAGAGCAAGAGCAGTATATGGAGGGCTCAAGGGGAGGAAAGGTAAGGGGAAATGATATATTATAATCTTAAAAAAAAACAAAAAGCCAGTGGCATACACCTTTAATCCCAGCACTCAGGAGTAGAAGTAGGCTAATCGAGGCCATTCTGGCCTACAGAATAAGTTCCAGGACAGCCAAAGAAACAGAGAAATTCTGTCTCAAAGAAAAAGAAAAAAAGAAAGAAAAGAAATAAAAAGTAAGAATTTGTAATGTGATGTCTGCTAATGTTTCTTTTATGCTGTGGGGATGGTGGCACCTTTCCTCTGTGTCCTTTTTCTCCTTGAGACTTCCCATTCCTTGGGATCCAGTACGTTTGTCTTGTAATCTCACCCTCAATTGTTCAACAAGTGGTAATTTTATAGATTATCCAGCTTTTTGTTCCTCGTTAAGCTAATAACAATCTTAAGGCCATTACAGTTTCTTTTGAAGAACTGATTACCAAAGTTCATCCTCCGATTATCCTCAAGTTATTATTTCCATCACTGCATTTTCTAAAACCTGTAGTTATTTTTGCATTCTCTGGTAGACCTTAGCCCCATGAAAAATGCTGTCTCAATCACCAAGGAGATTTGGCTCATATTCACACAAATATAAAATAAGCCACCAAATCTTCTCATTTTAAGTCACCTCTAGATTATTTGTAATACCAAATAAAGTTGTTAATATCTCATAAATGGCTGTTTATCAGGGAATAATGGCAAGGAAAGTCTGTGCATGGTCAGTATAGATGAAATATTTTTTCAAATCTTTTGATAAGCAGCTAGTTGAATTCACATACATTGCACCCGTCAGTATGAAGGACCAACTGTGCTGCATCTCTTCATTATGTAACCCTGTACTACAGACAACACAGTACTCAGAAATGAATGGGGTGCTATACACAGCATGTATGCATGCTTTCTGACTGTTTAAAATGCCCACAGAATGCACGGAACAGAGAGAGAAGAGGGGCAAGAACTCAGAGGTATAAACTAGGGGACCATGTTCATAACTACCTACCAATTTCCATTTGTAATCTGCATGGGAAAATATATCTGCAATATCGAACAGGCTCAAAACCATAAAGAATGAATGAAAAAGATAGATCCTAAGCCATTCTTCAATTAAGTTCTAAGGAAAGCTGAAATAAATAGCAAAACATAGATCCATAATTCCTTATTATTTATTCTCCTCTTACAAAAGACACTTGAACAAATAAATATAAAATGGTATATGTCATATTTAGAAATGGCCAAAGACACA